TAAAATTATCTATTTTTATCCTATATCGGCTCGTAAAAGCAATTAATTTCATTTGATTTATTTATATTTTATAGATGTAGATATTTTGATATGAATATTTATTCAAAAATACATACGTGTGCATATTTTCATTGATTATTTTAATATAAAAAAATACTTTTGTTAAAGTGCATCCAAAAAGGATGTTAAAATTTATCTGTGAGATTATCTTTTCAGACAAATGAAGAGAATGATTCTGTCTTCAAAAAATTTATTTGTGATCAAGAAACAAGATCAGAAGTAGGCAGGAAATTGTCTTCGTTGTTAATTACACCAGTGCAAAGAGTACCAAGATATCAATTACTTGTTAAACAAGTGTTACAACATACTCCTTATAGACATAGAGAATATCGACATTTACAGGGTAAGTACATTATTAAGATTCGCCAAAAAATTCACATGTATTTGAATGTATATTTTTAGCATATTTTAATTAAATTTTAATTGCAGCATGTCTGGTTGAAATTGAAAAATCTGCGAAACACATAAATACTTTAATCGCACAAAATGAAGAAACACAAAAATTATTAAATCTTCAGAAATGCATTGTTACTTCTATTAACCTTGTCAAACCTGGTAGAATGTTAATCAAACAAGGACCATTGATGCGTGTTTCGAGACGAGGCAATTCAACTTATAGACGATATTTTGTTCTTTTAAATGACACTCTGTTGTATTGTAAAGGTGAACCAGAGACATCGCTGAACATATCTTGCGTTCTACCATTAAACAAGTGCAGTTTAACCTGTGTTCTGAGCAAAAAATTGTTCCGTATAACGTGTTTGCATGAAACATTCTTATTGTACTCAGAAAATGCGGATAGTGCTGAATGGATACAATCGATACAAAATGCTATTAAAAAAGTATTTGTTACATTATTAAAAATGTAGATATAATCTTGGTACTTTTAGCTTTCCTAATTAATATATTATGTACTATCTTGTTTTCAGTATACTGAATGTCGACAAACTTTGAGAAAAGAAAGTAGCTCGAGAAAGCCACTTAGACATAAAAATATTAATGAGTTTTCATCAGATGATATACCAAAAAAATCTATTAAAAGAAAAAGATGTATAAAAGATGAACAGGTATAAACATATTATTTTTCATATGTAAGTTGCTAGTATTAACTTTTGAGATGTTTAACACAAAATGTCAATTGATTGAAGATAGATTGTATTACAGGTAGATTATCTTAAGAGATATAATAATGAACTAACACAGATTTTTCTATATTACATATTAGGTATCGTTGGACACCTCCAATATAATATACTTTAAAAAGGATAATGAAATGGATGAGGATACTCAAAG